TCCCCATTGTCCACCATGCAAGTAATGTCCTCAAAGAATTCCACCAAATTAGTTAAACATGACCTACCCTTCATGAACCCATGCTGGGTGTTCCCAATGGGACAATTTATATCCAGATGTCTTGCTATTTCTTCCTTAATGATAGATTCAAGCATTTTCCCCACTACCGAAGTTAAGCTAACTGGCCTACAGTTACTTGCTTTTTGTCTACTTCCTTTTTTAAACAGTGGAGTCACACTGGCTGTTTTCCAATCTGCGGGAACCACCCCAGAGTCCAGTGAATTTTGGTAAATAATTACTAGTGCATTTGCTTTGTCCCCATCATCTCTTTTAGTACACTGGGATACATTTCATCAGGGCCAGGAGACTTGTCTACCTTTAGCCCCATTAGCTTGCCCGGCACTGCCTCCTTAGTGATAATGATAGTTTCTAGGTCCTCACCTGCTATAACCTTCTTGCCATCAGTTTTCGGCATGTTATTTGTGTCTTCCACTGTGAAGACTGACACAAAATAACTGTTTAATGCCTCGGCTATTTCCTCATTCCCAGTTATTAAATTGGCCTTCTCATCCTCTAGAGGACCAATGTTTACCTTCGCCACTCTTTTACGATTTACATATTTATAGAAACTTTTGCTGCCTGTTTTTATATTCTGAGCTAGTTTACGCTCAATCTTACTTTTCTTTATAACTTTTTTTGTGGCTTTCTGTTGGCCTTTAAAGATTTCCCAGTCTACTAGTTTCCCACTACTCTTTGCTTTTTTGTATGTGTTTTTTTTTTCAAATCTGATACTTTCCTTTATTTCCTTAGACATCCATGATCGACTATCTCTTTTCCTACAGTTCTTCCTTATCACTGGAATATACTTCTGCTGATCACTGTGAAAAATAGTTTTGAAAGTCCTCCACTGTTCCTCAATTGACCCACCATAAAGTTTTTGCTCCCATTCTACCTTAGCTAACTCCTCCCTCATCTCATCATAGTCTCCTTTGTTTAAGCACAGGACATCGGTGCTGGATTTAACCTTCTCGTGCTCCATCTGTATTTTAAATTCGACCATACTGTGATCGCTCCTTCCGAGAGGATCTCTAACTGTGAGATCATTAATTATTCCTGTCTCATTGAACAGGACTAGATCTAGGATAGCTTGCTCCCTCGTAGGTTCCATTACATATTGTTCAAGGAAATTATCGCGGATGCATTCTATGAATCCCTCCTCGAGGCTGCCATGACCGACCTGGTTTGACCAATCGACAGGTAGATTGAAGTCGCCCGTGATAATTGCTGTACCATTTTTTTATATGCATTAGCTATTTCTATGTTTATTGCCCACCCCACTACGAGGTCATTATTTGGTGGCCTAGAGACCACACCTATCAGTGACTTCTTCTCCCTGCTATTCCTAACTTCCACCCAAATGAATTCAACCTTTTGTTCAGTAGAAGCTATATCATCTCTCACTACCGCCCTGATATCATCCTTAAAAATCAGAGCGACACCACCTCCCTTACCTTCCGAACAGTTTGATACCCCTGGATATTTAACTTCCAGTCATGACCATCCTGCAACCATGTCTCTGTAATGGCCACTAAATCATACCCATTTGCCATGATTTGCGCCGCCAACTCATCCATCTTGTTTCGAATGCTCCGAGCATTCAGATAAAGTGCCCTTATGCCAGTTTTTGCACCTTGTTTTTGAGTCCTATCACTTCCATTACTAACAGCTCTCGAGTTCTCCTTCCCTTTAACTTTTTCCTAATTTTCAAAGGAGTTGAAGCTTCCTCGTCACCTGCTAACCTGCCGCTTTGCCTTCCATTAATTGTTATACTCCCTGTCCGCTCACTCCTCCCTTCCCCCCTACTTACTAGTTTAAAGTCCTATTGACGACCCTATTTACCCTTTTCGCCAGAACACTGGACCCGGCCTTGTTCAGGTGGAGTCAATCCCAGCGGTATAGATCCCTCCTGTCCCAGAACTGATGCCAGTGCCCCATGAAAAGGAAACCCTCTTTCCCACACCACTCTTTAAGCCACAAAATGGAGAATGGCTATCTACCTTATCTATGCCTCTCATCATTTTATAAACCTGTATAAGATCACCTCTGCCTCCTATGCTCTGAGGAAAAATGTCCCAGCCTATCCAAACTCTCCTTATAAATCAAACCTTCCAGTCCAGATAGCATCTTTGTAAATTTTTTCTACACTCTTTCTAGTTTAATAATATCCTTTCTATAATAGGATGACCAGAACTGCATGCAGTACGCGAAATGTGGCCTCACTAATGTCTTGCACAGCTGCAACAAGACATCCCAACTCCTATATTGAATGCTCTAACCGATGAAAACAAGCATGCAGAAAGCCTTCTTCATCATCCTGTCTACCTGTGACTCCACTTTCAAGGCCCCTAGATCCCTCTATAACACTCCCCAGGCCCCAACATTGACTGTTTAAGTCCTGCTCTGGTTTGTCCCACCAAAATGCAACACCTTGCATTTATCTAAATTAAACTCCATCTGCCATTCCTCAGTACACTGACCGAGTTGATCTTGATCTCGCTGCATTCACAGAAAATCTTCACTGTCCAGTATACACTAATCTTGGTGTCATCCACAAACTTCCTAACCATAACTCAAATTCTCATTCAAATCATTTATATAAACGATGATTAACAGTGGACACTATATTGTTTCAGTATATCAGGAATTGTGAATGCACAATGTTTGCAACTCCAATCAGTGAACATCCCTATTTCCAACCTTATCACAGGTGGAAGCAGCTAAAGATGGTTAAGCAAAGGACACTACCCTGCTAACTCTCACAGAGATATCCTGAAACTGAAATAACTGGCCTCCAACATTCACAACCATCTTCCTTTGTGCCAGATACATAATTCCGACCAGCAGAGAGATTTTCCATTATTCCCAATGCTTTCAGTTTTGCTAAACGCCTTGATTTCGCACAATCAAATCTGGTTTTGATATCAAAACCAGTCACTCTTATCTCTTTTGTCCATGTTCAACTAAAGCTGTAATGAGATCAGGAGCTGTGACCCTGGCAGAACCCAAACTGAGTGTCAGTCAGCAAGTAATTGCTAACCCAGGGCTGCTTGATAGCTTTGTTGATGACACTGTCTATCATCAAAGCTGCTCATTTAAAACAAATACTGAAATGCACCACTTGCAGGGTTTTCTGGTGCTTACATATGTCCATTTCATCAGCTGGTACTGCTATTTAAGGAGTCTTTCGGCACACCTCAAAAAACTTCAATTGTTTTTGCATAAATTCCAACTACCACTTCCAAATGATTTATCAACTTCAATTACTACTGGACGCACCAATTAATTAACTCCTCTTAGACATTGGAACAATCTAATCCTGAATACTATACTGCTCAAAATGAATGAAGAATGTCTTTACCTTGCAGTGTTTGTATAATCCTTGTGCTGCTGGTAATGTTCTTATTCAAAGCTTCCTTTAAATGAAAAGCAAACATTCAGATTAAAAAAGTTAGGAAACCGAACATACTATCTGCATTTACAAATCTATTCATTTTGTTTTTTCATTTGTTATCCATAAACATTCAAACAAATTACAAAACTATTATTCTAGGAATTGAGACAAATAAAATCTCACTTCTTAGTCTTCCTGTGTACCTCCAAACGGAGCACTGTGCTGGAAACTGCAATATTGGTAACAGCAAAATTAAAATTTGCTTCCCCCAAAGCTACATCTCAATTTCAGTTCCAGGTGTGGATCTCCAATCAATCTACAATGTTCACTTTACCACATTTACTTACTTAAGGGGAGTTATCCTCCCATCTAATGCAAAACCAAATCCTACAGCTCTATAGCTATCCAGTTAATGAGATTCTAAATGCAGTATATCTACAGTAAGTAGGATCATCTGGAAATGTGAACCTATGCTAATCTCACATGGATGTTACAAAACATGAAAACTGAGCAAACTCAATATATGTTGACAAAAATTGACTACGCACAGAGTAGCAAGTTGGGAGACCCTAGAAAATCAGGAGCGTTTGCCATGGATGAATACTGACTGAACTTTCAATAGTTGCATACTGACAGCACGAATACTAACATTCCTAGGAGTACTATAAAATTGCAACTCACCATATTAAATCAGTTTGTATAAAATCTACACAGCTTTAATAATTGAATTATTTTTCCACTTCCATCTCAGTAATTTGGTTTTGCATTTCTAACAGAGTGGTTGCAAGAACAATTTCTGCATTTTTAACTGTACTTGCAAGTCATTCATCTTACTTTACACTGTATTATTACTAGCACAAGGGCAAAGTCAGAAGCAATGCTACTTAGCAAGTTCTCATTTACAGTGTAGTTCCAGTTCTGGAAACTCTTAACTTTAGATTAAAAAGTTTAAGCGAATCATCAGTTCCCACTAGAATCAATGGAATTAGGTTCCTTCAAATATATATTGGCTTTTCAAGGCAAGAAATCAGTTGAAATACTATACAATACTTGTCTAGCAGTGTGCATTCAACACAAATAGCATGCAAAATAAAGTTACTAAATACCATATAAATTCAAAAGAAAACATTATGGGGCTGCAGGAGTAGATGGATAGCTATTTCAAAACAGTCAGACAAGAAATGGTAAGCCAAATGACTTCCTTCAGTGCTGTACATTCCATAATCAGAGGCTGTGAAGCAGCCTCTTGGAGTAATCTTCCTGACCCTTTCTCTACACTCTACAGAAGGTCTTTGCCACTTTTCCTCTAAGGCTCAGAAACATTATCCAAGTTCTTTCTTCTGCAGCTCTTCCAGACTTGGAACTAAATGCATTATTTTTAGAAAACTCTTGATAACCTGAAGCTGAAATACACTTTCACATCTCTTATCCATCACAATGTTCCTTTACTCCAATGATTTTCTTCCCAAGCACTCTTACCTTTTAAGGAAAACATTGAATCTTGTGAAAGAGATGGCTACTCCAGCCATGATTCTATGAAGGTCTTCAATCATCTTCAGATGGGTTTCCAGTACACTCAGCCTTAATTTCCAGATTCACATCATTAGAGATTCTGTTCATTAACTGTATACTGATCTGTGATGGCTAGGCTAACCTTCAATGCCAGGCGCAGTTCTGATGTCAACAACACGTAAATAATGTAAAAATGAAAATGATAATGCAAGTTGTAAAAAAAAAGGCCTTACAAACAATGGTTTACAGTAATTTAAACAATCACCAGAACTCTCCACAAAGGTAACAGGTACTTTCTCTTTCTCTAGTATTAAACACACTAACTTCTTTATTCCTTGTGATCTGGCCATCATCTTCAGTGCAAATGCACAACCAGAGCCAGCAATTTCCTAATTCTCTCACTGGAGCAAGTCAAATACACAAGATCACCAACTAAGAGACATATTACTATATGTAGTTTTATTTTCTTTAGCCAAATACAAAATTCTAGCCATAGCAAGAGCAAGAGCTAGAGAAACTAAGCAACTGTCAAAATATCGAAAATATTAATCAGTTTATCGTGTACAAACACTGATTTTGCTACTGAACTGCAAACTCAAGTCATTTCCAAACCTTTTTTTGTAGCTCCATACTAGTCAGCAACCACATTATGAATACCTCCCTTAACAATCCCCTAAAAAGACCAAACTATTTTGTTACATAAAGTGCTTTTCACAATCTCAGGATATGCCAAAACACAAGACAACCAATTAAGTATTCTGAAACAGTGCAACAAATTGATGGAATGAGAAAGAAAACAGCAAGGTAAAATAACAGATGCAATTCTGAAGTGGGTGCAGAAGCAGAAGGACCTGACAGCATACGTGGCAAATTGTTGATAATAACAGAAGACTGTAAAAGCAATTAAAAATATATTCTGGGCTCCTGGTATTTACTTTCACCTGACGAAGAAGCAGCACACTGCAAGCTTATGATTTCAAATAAACCTGTTGGGCTCTAACCTGGTGTCATGTGACTTCTGACCTTCTAAAGACAGGCACAGAGCTAAAGCAAAGAAGTTATGAGGAACCCTTTAAAAACGGTTCAGCTCAACTGGAGTATTATGTCCAATTCCAGGCGCATTTTTAAAATAACAAAGACTCTATAGAGGATGCAGACTGGTTCTACGGATGAGGAGCTTAACTTACAAGATAGATTGGAGAACTTGGAAGCTGGTCTGCTTGGAGAAGAGACATTTGTCGGAGGTGTTCAAAATCACAAGGGTCTGAAGAGAGAAAAACTGTTACCACTGGGAGAATGGTTGAGAACCAGAGAACATTAGAGTGAATGCTAAAGAACCAGTCGGTGGCTAGGAGGATAAACAGAGTCAGTGGTTAGGATCCGAAATACACAGCTTGAGAGTGCTGTGCAAGCAAATACAAAAAATAAATTGGATTAACAAAACTGGGCAGTGGACCTAGTTTGCTCTAGTAGAGAACCATCATGGACATGGCTAGCAAAGTGATTGCTATGCTGTCACTATTCAATAATCCTAAATTTGTGTACAGAAATCTTCCGCAAATGTGACGTTAAAACAATCAGATAATTGGTTTATTGCTGAAGGATGAATATTAGCTAGGAGATATTAGAGTTTCTTTGCTTATCTTCAAAATAGTACTGTGGAATCCTGTATAACCACCTCAAGTAGCAGATGCAGCCTCGATTGAGTGTCCTGTCCAAAAGGGAGCACCACCAACACTCCATCAGTATTACAAAGGAGCACAATGATATTCAAGTCTCTGGATTTGAAACTGAATCCACAATACATTCTGACTTACAGGCAACGGTACATCAACTGAACCATGGTTGCTGAAGAGAGTGCAACCCCAACAGACACAAATGCACAAGCAAAATACTAAGAATGCTGAAGATCTAAAAAAGCAACAACAAAAGCTGGAAAATTCAGTAGAGGTCAGACATTAAGTCTGGAGAGAAACAGACTTAAAGTTCCCAGTCAAAGAGTGTCCGATGTAAGCTTCTGTTGTCAACAAGAAATCTGAATTAGTCCTTTACTGGCCAACAAAAAGGTATTCTGGAAATTTTACTGATCTTCTGAATGTTTATCCATAACATGGGCATTCAACTTGACTGGAACATTAAGGTTAGGATTGGATCCTACTCGAACCTGCTAAAATTGCTCTGCATTCCAGGATATTGCCAATTTCTCTTCCCTATGGTATACTATCTCCTTAAACTTTTTTCCCTTCACCTCCAACAAGGGCAAATAAGTTGCCAGACTCTGTCATTAAGTTTGAGACTAGTCAGACAGCTGCCTTTGTTGCTTACCTTCTTTCTCCCAAGCCCTTTCATGATACAAAAAGGTGTCCATCCCTTCTCTGCCCTAAAGAGGAAACAGGACCAGATCCAAAAGGGTTACCTTACTGCTCCAAAGGAAAAAAATATAAAACATTCCTTCATTCTCACCCCTCATCCCTACACATTCCTCATGCATCTGACAAGGAAGTCTATACACCATAATGCCTTCTACCCATTCCCCTTATATTGCTCTGCCATCTGCATCCACCAATCATTTGTCCCTTCACCTACCATATCAACCCATTGAGTACCAATGCACAAAGGACAGAAAATATTCTTAAATTTCCATACTCTGAGTACAGAGAAAGCCACTCACTCTTATAAACACATTGACATTCTTGGTAGGTCTTAACAAGTTGGACAGTTTCAGGGGTTTTGTGTACTTTTCACACACAATTTTCTGCACAATCAACAGCCCTAAAGGGCATCTGATCCCCTCCAAAGGATCTCTGACCCCAATCCCCAAAAGCATACCTGATTCAACCCCCAAGATCTGCAGGGCCATATCAGCAAAGGTATCTCAGCGCTCCAAAAGGATACCCTGGCAACCTGAAAGAAATGCCCTGAAAACAGATCTGTTTCTTTTTGATCATATCTCCACACTTTGGGTTACAGACACCAAGTAAAGTCAGCCACTTAAATGGCCAGCTGCCTCCAGATACTACGCATGTGAAAACTAAGTCCCAGCCTTGTGGAAACCATAAATGCTGGGTTCAGGTGTGGGAGTTGGGATTCCCGAGTTCTTCCTGAATTTTATCACAATGAAGACACTCATGATAAAAACTGGGGCCCGTAGAAAATATCAGTCCACTCTCATTTTGCATTACAATAGTTTTAAACAGATAATATAGACTGGTACTTAGTATTTAGATAGCGCTGAACTACCAAAGCTGCCCATCTCTGATAAGACCTTAAACTGAGATGCCCTGCTCAGGCGGACAAAGTTATCATGGCACTATTCAGATGAGTGGCAGGTTGTTCCCGTGTTCTGGATAATGCTTATCCTTCAACCAAAAAATTTTACAAGTTGTTGGACACAACTGTACACGCATATTGAATGGTTGTTTGTTGGAAGAACTCTGCAGGTACATAATTAGCTGTGCAGCAATTTGGAATGGTACAAAAGGTTGAAAGACGTCATATAAATGAAAATTTCTTGCAATTCAATTATATACCACCTAAAATTGTAATTTGTTTTTGACATTACAGTAGAATTCATATAACTTCCATGTCTCCAAGTTAGGGCAGCAGACATATGACACCACTTTTCCCACTATTATGCACTGCACCAAAAATACTATTATAAAATTCCAGCTTTTAAAATAAAACAGCAAGTAGATGTGAAAGAAAATACAAAAGTCAAGTGAACACAGAGACACTAGCTAGCATACAATTGATGGAAATACTATTCCAAGGTCAAAAATTAAAATGCGTGCATCCGATATATTCACACCCTTCACTCTAAAATCTCACCATGACCAAGAATATTATCCAGCTGCATTAAAATAGATTTCCAAAATGACTACACAAACTGCAGCGTGTTTTCGGAAATCCTGCAGTCAGTAAAATATGTTATATAAATTTTTCTTATTTAGTTAAGAATTAATGCAGTATATAACAGACATTGAGAACCAACAAAGAAACTAAAACAATTACAGAGAATGCTGGAGAAACTTAGCCAGTCTGGCAGTATCTGTAGAGAGAAGCAGTATTAACACTGAGTCTGGTATCAAGAGTCATGTTGGGGTCCAACCCGCACAGATCAAATCCTCAACATCCACAAACAAAGCTGCATTAGGACACTATTTAAACAGGGCAGGACACACTGCAACACTCCAGAATAACGCAGGAAAGAGGAAGGACAAACTGTACAAGATCCTTGCTTTAAATGAATATCCCCGCAACTTCATCCACAGATGCCTACAAAACAGACAACAGGAGGACACAGTATGACCTAACACACTTACCACACTTCCCCACATCAGGAACGTATCAGAACTGACAACAAGACTCCAAAGACCACTACGAATCATGGTGGCCCACAAGCATTCTACAACAAACACTTAGAAGGATTAAAGACCCCATTTCCACAACATGCAGAACAAACATGGTTTACAAAATACCATGCAACGACTGTCATAAACGTTACATCAGACAGACAGGAAGGAAACTAGCCATCAGAATACATGAACATCAGCTAGCAGCAAAACAGCACAACCAACTCTCCTTAATATAGGTACATTCGGACAATGAATGCCATCAATTTAACTGGGACAAAGTAGCCATAGTAGCCCAAGCCAAACATAAACACGCACGGGAATTCCTAGAGGCATGGTTCTCCACCCACACTTCAATCATCAAACATAGAATTGGACCCCATATACAAACCAAAACCGGAAATGACACTACTCACCATAACAGACCAGACAATATGAATTCCAAGCGGAGTAGAATAACATTGCTTCAGCAGAGGCTCCACTGATGATGTCACCTAGCACAGTGACAAAACATCTGAACAAAAATAAGCCAGCTCGGCAAGCAAGTCAACAACCTCATAGCAAGGTCTTTTCCCCAGGGGAGGGGAATCCAAAACCACAGGGCATAGGTTTTAGGAAATAGAGGAAAGATTTAAAAGGGATGCAAGGGGCAACATTTTCAGACAGAGGGTGGTGTGTGTTTGGATCAAAGTAAGTGGTAGAAGCAAGTACAATTACAACATTTAAAAGGCATTTGGACAGGTATGTAGATAGGAAAGATTTCGACAGATATGGGCCAAACACAGGCAAATGGGGCTCGTTCAGTATAAGAAACCTGGTCAGTCTGGACAAGTTGTGTTGAAGGGTCTGTCTCCGTGCTGTATGACTCCAAATTTTAATGCAGGTGGATTGAACCTGATTAAGGCATTGCCCTGAGAAATGAACATCACTTTTATTCAGTTGAAACAGGTAGAGTGTACATGCTCATTATTGATGTAACAAAGAAGCCAGTGTGCATTCATGAGTAGTTTCCAGTATCGTGTAAGTGCACTACACAGCGAGCCCGATTGACAATCCTAACTTACAATGCAAGGGTGAGGTATCTCAAATGATTGAGCAACAGGTGAAACAAGCTGTTTCACAGTTATTATGCAGTATCAACTCAAGTTGTTTTCATCACCAACAGAACATTGCCATCAAGCCCAAAGGACTGTCACACAAGTGAGTAATGTGGCCCATGAATTTCAATGCTAGTGTGAAGCTAGAAAAGTAGGTTTTAGATTGCAGAGATTTAAGAATCATATCAGACAGTTATCCCTTCAACGAACAGAATTCGAGAAACTCAGCAGGTCTGGCAGAATCTGTGGACAGAGAAACAGGGAATGACTCTTCTTCAGAATTACATATCCCTTTGGCTGTTCACACCAAACAGGATGCCAAATGTGTCCAACTAGCCTTTGCTTACAAAACTGAAAACACTATGGCCAACAGAGATGATCGTGACCGAATAAAATTTGGTAAATAATCCCGAGTGCACAACGAATTACACTGACATCCATTTTAAGATTGTTTCATCGTGCAGAACAATTATTTAAGATGACTACTTCCTCCAATCATAATATAGCATTACATAGGCCAGTGTTCCAGTTTTATCAAATATTTTGTATTTAATGCATGACCACCATATGTCCTAAAACATTTTACAGTCAATGAGTACTTTGGTTAGTCATCATCGTAATAAGGTTACAGGCTTGCACGCCATTGTCGAAGGAACCTTGGTGAGTTGTCGCAGTGCATCTTGTAGGTGGTACATATATTTGCCAGCTTGGAAATTTTCCAAACAAATTTGCCAATTTATCAATGAAGGAGGAAGAGAATGGTGAAGATATTAGATTTACCAATCAAGCAGGCTATTTCTTTCCCGGATGGTGTCAAACTTCTTGAGCGTCACTGGAGCCGCAGTTATCCATACAACTGAGTTACCCGTGACTTGTGCTTTGCAGGAGGAAGTGAGTAACTTGCTCCAGAATTCCCAGCCTCTACCATGGCTAAAAGTGCTGGTCATTTATAATCACTGGTTTAGTTCTGTTTCTAGACAATGGCAACCCCAAGGATGTTGATATTGGGATATTCAGCAATGGCGACGCCACGGAATTTCAAGGAGAAATTACTGTCTTTTTGAAGATGGTCAATGACGGCCGCATGTGCACAAACGTTCCTGGTCATTTATCAGGCTAAGCCCTAAATTCAGAACTCCAAGGATGTGCAGGTTAGGTGGATTGGCAAATACTAAATTGCCTCGTAATGTCCACGGTAATGCAGGCCAGAAGGATCAGCCACGGCGCTGTTACGGTAATAAGCTGGAACTGCGTGGGACGCTCTGCGAGAGGGTCGGCGAAGACTAGATGGGCCGAAAGGCCTTTATCTGCGCTGTAGAGACCTCTACGAATTCGAGACGTAGGCCTCACCAAAGTTTTGCACAACTGAACCACAGCATTCTCACGTTGTATTCCAAGACAACGCCTTCGTTCCACACAGCTTTTTTTTTAAAAAACTGCCCATTAACTTTTAAAACTGTCTTGTAACTCCGTTCTCCTCAACATGTCCTCCCACCCACAGCAGCGTTACTTTACCTTTTCCTCGTTGCAGATCCTGGCTTCTGCCTGGACCTGTTGGCGGCGCAGAAGTTCGAGCTGACCCACTTTATCCTTGTGACCCTCTAACTGGCTCTGCAGCTGCAGCTGGAGTTGGTGCTTCTGCAGCTCCGTGGTGCTGAGGTCGACAGCCGCGCGCCGGACCTTGGCGTCGAGTGCAACCACCCGCGCCTGCAGCTCGGCGCTGCGCGAGCTCGACACCCAGTAACTGAGCGCGAGGAAGGCCAGGCACGCGCCCAGCGCCAGCAGCAGGAAGAGCAACGGCGGGGAGCGCGCGCCGCGCCGCCCGCTCCCGAGGCCCAGCATCAGGCTAACGGCCGGTGGCTGACGGCACCGGGGGAAGGGGGAGAAGGGAGACGATTCAAACTACTATTGGGACGCTCTTCGGCCAAAGCAGTCTTTTAAAAAAAAGTACAACCCGACGGAGCGAACCGTCAACGAGCTCTATCGATCGTCACAGAAAATCGGCGAGGGCCTGTTCAGGCCGGAAAACGCATAAAAGTTCAGAAACAGAGCAGGATACCGACTGCGAAACCGGAGCTGAACCCAGGCACCTGCCACCTCATGGCTCCACCCTCACTGCCGTCATCTCCCCGACATCCCGTCCAGGATGGTGACTGCCCTCCTCCGGAGGGCGGCTCCCAGCGGCGGGCAATCTAACCGCTAATGGAAAGTTACAACATCAACACAAACACTACAAAACCAACGACGGAATGCCTTCTAATGTTCTTTTGCCTCCAACATCTCCACATCAAATCCACCAAATCATCCCTCATTATTTACTCCATGCCATGGTAGAAAACTGTTGGTTTCGAAATACCCAGGCCGTTTACGGGAAGGTTGGCTAATCATTTTGCGTGGGAATGGGGATTCGGAGGGAAGGTGTGGGGAATATTTTAACGTTTCTCTTCCTCCGGGTCTAGTCAGCAAATTTTATAAAGATAAGGGTTGCCACAACTGGAAACATGGATTTCATCAAAAATAGAATTCAAAAGCAATAAATTGATCTTGTAAATTAATAATTAATAGAAATTAACAATTAAAATGGGACAAACAGCAAAGCTTAATCACAAAGTTTTTTCGATTAAGAAACAGCTGGAGAAAGAGAAAGAATCACCCCCAATTCATGATCACCAGAGAAGGGATGATGACAGGGACCGAGCTAAGGAGATGGTTTAACTAATACTGACCTTGGTGAAAGGCATTCGGAGCTGGCTACGGCAGAATTCGCATGTAGGTGAGGGTCAGAAGTGAGTTGACTTTCAGCCTGGGGTTTCTCTTCTTACTGTCTGACTGACTCTGCCCCCTTTAACTTCAGAAAAATAATCCATGGGGCTTTGAGCTTCGAAAATGATCACCAGTACTATTACACCACCAGCAAACTTTGTGCGTTGAATTGGAAGTGACAGTTTGTATCTCCTTGAAGAGATATAAATGCAGTTTGGTAAAAAGCAATCACTGCCCAACTCAGGTGGCATAGTTACCCCTCTGCCATGCGACTGTCTCATTGCCTTTTCCCTGTGGTGCGACTCTCATCTCCCTCCCAGGCCGGAGTCTCCCTGAAAGTTTCCTAGTCCCTTACCCGGCCTGCAGACTCACCGTTCTGGCTCACGGCATGGGGCTGCTCGCTGTTCTTCCAATCACACACTGGTTTTCTGACGAATTTGCTGCCGGTCGACCTACTGATAAATCGGCAGCTACTCTGGTGAGCAATAAATCCTTGCAAAGTTTTTCACCTGTATTTGCATCAAATAGAACATAAAACAAACAAATTGAAAAATTAAAATTTCGCCTTAATTTTTCACCTGGTTTATGATCATTCCCATGTAAGGTTAAGTCATTATTAATGATGGGAACCCTATGAATGAACTGTAAATTTGCCTACCGTGAGTGTGTGTGAAATGGTGTGCAGGGGTGCCTCTGGCTGAAATACACCAACTTCGGGTTCTGGAGTTTCAGAGCAGCTTGGGAGCACGAGGGCGCATTCATGAAACTGTGGTTCAAGGATAATACATTTCAAAATGTGGTCACCCCATAGCTTAAGGAAGTTCAGGTCGAGAATGAATCAGTGACCACCAAGCAGAAAAAGGGAACCAAGACTGTATTGAGAGAATTCCTCACATGCTTATCATTTGCAAACTGTTTTTTGCCCTTGAAAATGGTAAGAGAAAATGGTAATGCTGCTGGGCCTAAGAACAATAAATATCATGGGCAATTCCTTGGTGAGGGCAGTGGACAAGCACTTTTGCAGCTGTAGACATTACTCCAGGATAGTATGTTACCTCATGGGTGCCATGTTCAAAGATGTCGTGGGCATTTTGAAGGGACAGCGTGAACAGTCAGAATTCATTGTCCATGTTGGGACCAGTGACATAGGGAGAAAAAGAAATTAGGTCTTACACACGGACATTGGGAAAACAGAACTTCAAAGGAAATAATTTTCAGATTACTCTTGGCACTACCCAAGTGTGAGTATGTGTATAGAAGGATAGAGCAGATGAACATGGGGCTCAAGGGATAGTGAGAAGGGAAAATGCCCACAACCTGAAGCATTGGAACCTGTTTCTGGTAGAGATGGGAACAGTACAAGTTGGCCAGGTTACATCTGAATTGGAATAGGACTCATCCAAGTGGGGAGAATCATAGAATCCCTACAGTGTAGAAACAGGCCCTTCAGCCCAACAAGTCCACACCAACCCTTGGAGCATCCCACCCAGACCCATCCCCCTATAACCCACCTAATCTACAGACCCCTGAACGCTACAGGCAATTTAGCTTAGCCAATCCACCTAACCTGCACATCTTTGGACTGTGGGAGGAAACTGGAGGAAACCCATGCAGACACAGGGAGAATGTGCAAACTCCACACAGACAGTTGCCCGAGGGTGGAATTGAACCCAGGTCCTTGGCGCTGTGAGGCAGCAGTGCTAGCCACTGAGCCACCGTGCCACCCTAATTCTGTTGAATTGGATTTAAACTAGCTTGGCAGGTGACAAGTAGGCTGGAGGGGAGAAAGCTAAGATAGAAGTATAAGTTAAATCATGTGTGAAACTGGAAGGCAGATGAAATATAGGATACATAAGTTGGATACATTTTAATGTAAGGAGGCTGAAGAAAAAATAGATGAACTGAGGGCACTGAAAGTCAACTCATTTCTGACCCTCACTTTCATGTGAATTCTGCCGTAGCCAGCTCCAAATGCCTTTCACCAAGGTCAGTATTAGTTAAACCATTTCCTTAGCTTGGTCACCATCTGAAGAGGTACATGAATGGGAACAGTTTAGGTGAATATGGGCCAAATGCTGGCAAATGGGACTAGATCAGTTGAGGATATTGGTCAGCATGAACAAGTTGTGCCAAAGGGTCTGTTTCCATGCTGTATAACTCTATGATTCTATGATGAGTGTAATGCAGATGATATGGTCTACAAGACTTTAATAAGGCTTTTGATAAAGTTCCTCATGGCAGACTGGTCAAGGAAAGTCAGAGCCCATGGGATCCAAGGCAAAGTTACACGTGGAGTCCAAAAATTGGCTGAGGCAGAAATCAAGGTGATGGTAGAGGGATGTTTCTGTGATGAGTGGTGTGCTACAGCGCTCAGTGCTGGGGCTCTTACTGTTTGTTGAGTACATTAAAGATTTGAACTTAATTATAGGGGGTAAATCAATAGTGAGAAGGGTTGTCTTAAACCACAGGAGATCTCAACAACTGGTCAGCTGGACAGGGCTATAACAAATGGAATTTATCCTTAAAAGAGGTGAGGTAAAGCAGTTGGGGAGATCTCACAAGGCAAAGGATTACACAATGAATAATAGGTATCTAGAAAGTACTGAACATCAGAGGGACCTTGATGAGCATATCCACAGATCTATGAAGGCAACGAGGCAGGTAGATAAGGTAATTGAAAAGGCATTTGGGATATGTGCCTTTATTGACCAAGGCACTGAATTCAAAAGCAAGAAGGTCATACTGAATAAAACATTGGTTAAACAACAATTGGAGTACTACGTACAGTTTTGGTGACCACATCATAGAAAGGCTGTGATTGCACCAGAGATGGTGCAGAGAAGATTTACCATGATTCACAGTGTCTGGGGTACAGTGTCTAAGCTACAAAGAAAGATCAGATAATCTGTTTATTTTGCCTTGGAACAACAAAGGTTGAATAGGCCCCTGAGAGATGGATAAGGTTGTGAGAGGCATTGATATTGTGGATAGGAAGGCACCCTTTCTGTTGGTAGAGGGGTCAATAAGGGGGGATGGTGGGGAGGATGGCATAGATTTTGGCTAAGACATAGAAGGCTAAGAAGAGAGTTGAGAATCTTTTTCACCAGAGGGTAGTGTAATTCTGGAACTCACAGCCTGAAAGTGTGGTTGAGTCAAAAGCTGTAACATTTAAGCAATATTTAGATATTCACTCATGTTGCCATAGCCTCCAGGGCTATTGGTGAAAAGTTGGAAAATAATTTAAAGTTGTCAGATCTTTGTGATGGCGTGGTGACAATTAGCCAAATGGCCTATTTCTGTGCCATAATAGTCTATGAGTCTATAAAGCAGACATTCGAACATATTCATTTCTTTTTATTCACTGGTGGAACATGGGCATCACTGGCTGGGCTAGCATTTACTGCCTGTTACTAGTTGCCCTTGAGAAGTCCATAAGCTATAGGTACAACTGCAATGCCATTAGAGAGGCAATTCCAAGATTTTGACCCAGCAACAGCGGACGAACAGCAATATATTTCCAAGACAGGATGGTGAGTGGCTCAGAGCGGAAGTTTCAGGTGGTGATGTTCCCATGTGTCTGCTGTCCTTATCCTTCTAGATGGCAGTGGTTGTGGTTTTAGAAAGTGCTGTCTAGGGATCTTTGGTGAATTTCTGCAGTGCATTTTTTCAATAGTACACACTGCTAATACTGAGCATTGTTGATGAGGGAAGTGGATACTTATGGATGTCGTGCCAATCAACAGACTGCTTTGTCCTGGATGCTTTTTGAGTATTCGAGCTGCACTCATCCAGGCAAGTGGGGAGTATTCCTTCACACTCCTGTCTTGAACCTTGTAGATGGTTTGAGGAGTTAGGAGGTGAGTTACTCACTGTGTCCGACCTGTTCTTGTAACCACTGTATTAACTATGTTATCAGTCTACTCTCAATCATCAGTAAAGTGATGGAAGATGTCATCAACAGTGCTATCAAGCAGCACCTGCTCAGCAATAACCTGCTCGGTGACGCCCAGGTTGGGTTCCGCCAGGACCACTCAGCTCCTGACCACATTATAGCTTTGGTTCAAAAATGGAAAAAAGAGCTAAATTCCAGAGGTGAGGTGAGAGTGACAGCCCTTGACAGCAAGGCTGCATTTGACTGGGTATGGCATCAAGGAGCCCTAGCAAAACTGGAATCAATGGGTATCGGGGGCAAATTCTCCAGTGGTCAGAGTCATACCTGACGCATAGGAAGATGGTTGTGGTTGTTGGAGGTCAATCATTTCAGCTCCAGGACATCTCTGCAGGAGTTCCACAGGGTAGTGTCCTTGGTCCAACAATCTTCAGCTGCTTCATCAATGATCTTCCCTCCATCATAAGGTCAGTAGTGGGGATATTCGCCAATGATTGCACAATGTTCAGCACAATTTGCAACTCCTCAGATACTGAAGCAGTCCATGTTCAAATGCAACAAGATCTGGACAATATCCAGCTTAGGCTGACAAGAAGCAAGTAACATTCGCACCACACAGATGCCAGGCTATGACCATCACTAATAAGAGACAATCTAACCACCACAGCTTGGCATTCAGTAGTGTTACCATCACTGAATTTCCCACTATCAACATCCTGGGGGTGACCATTGACCAGAAATTCAGCTGGACTCACCACATAAACACAGTGGCTACAAGAGAAGGTCAGAGGCGAGGAATACTGCAACAAGTAACTCACCTCTTGACTTCCCAAAGTCTGTCCGCCACCTACAAGGCACAAGTCAGGAGTGTGATGGAATACTCCCCACTTGCCTGGATGGGTGCAGCTCCAACAACACTTAAGAAGCTTGACACCATCC